CAGGGTTTCGTGGTAGATCTTCTCCCATAAGCCTCTTTGGAGGAGAAGCTAGAGGAAGAGGAGAAGGGGGAGGACGAAGAGGACGATGAGGAGAAGGAGGAGGAAGAGGAGGAGGAGGAGGAGGAGGAGGAAGAGGACGATGAGGAGAAGGAGGAGGAAGAGGAGGAGGAGGAGGAGGAGGAGGAGGAGGGGGGGAAATATGAACGGAGAAGGGAGATGAACAGGAGGAGGAAGAGGAGGAGGAACGAAAAGAAAGCGAGATAGGGCTTCACGGGGTGCTGGGGGTGGGGCCTGACATTGACCATATATATATATATAGATATATATTATGAGAGAGAGAGAAGAGAGAGAGAGAGAGAGAGAGAGCGTGATCACCGCAGCTCTACTCTGCGAAAATTGCCAACTTTTTTCTCCGGAGCCCGGGGGGGTGGGCCCCCCCCGCCCCTCCGAAACCCCCCCCCCCCCCCGTGCTGGAACCCCTCCCCCCCCCCCCCCCCCTTTTCCTCCCCCGGGGCTGTGGGGCAAAAACCCCCCCCTCCCTTACCCCTCCCTCCCCCCCCCCCCCCCCCCCGACCCCCCCTCCCCCCTCCCTCGAAAGCCGGGGGGGTCACGACCGGTTCGAACCCCTCCCCCCCCCCCCCCTCCGGATCCGGAAAACCGGGGGGGGTCACTACCGGTTCGAACCCCCCCCCCCCCTCCCCCCTACTCACCGCCAGCAAACGACTCCCGGTCCCCACCACCGTCCGCATCACATCCCCCACTGGTGTTTCCAGCACCACTGTCCTCACCACCGCTGTCCCCACTGGTTCCACCACCGCCCCTACTGTCCCCACCAGTGGCCCCACCACTGTCGCACTGTCCCCGCTGTCCCCAGAACTGTTCCCACCACGGTTCCACTTTCCCCACTGTCTCCACGGCCCCAACCACTGCCCGACTATCCCCACTGTCCCCACTATCCCACTGACTCCTCCGCTGTCCCACTGAGCTGTCCCACTGTTCCCACCACTGTCCCCACTGTCCCCACCACTGTCCCCACTGTACCTTTGTCCCATTGTCCCACCGCCGTCCTTGCCACCGCCTTCACCACTGTCCCCACCACCATTGTACCCTCCACTGTCCCACTGTTTCCACCTCATTCCCATTGTCCCCACACCACTGTCCCCACCACCACCGTCACCACCACTGTCCCCTGTCCCCCCCTGTTCCCACCATTGTCCCCACCACTGTCCCCACCACTACCGTCCCCACCACTGTCCCACTGTCCCACTGTCCCCACCACTGTCCCGCTGTCCCCTCACCACTGTCCCCACCAACACCGTCCCCACCACTGTCCGCACCCCCACTCGGTTTTCGAGGGGAGGGGGGGGGGGGTTCGAACCGGTAGTGACCCCCCCCCCTTTTCATGATGAACGGGGGGGGGGGGGAGGGTTCGAACCGGCAGTGACCCCCCCCCCTTCATGATTGAGGGCTGGGGGGGGGGGGGGGGTAGAGGGTTCGAATTCCGTGGGTTAGTAGCCAGGACCCCCCGGGTTTTTCCGGGGGGGGGGAGAGGAGAGGGGGGGGGGGGGGGGAGGGGTTCGAACCGGTAGTGACCCCCCCGGTTTTCCGCCAGCAGCGGTAGAACACGCTCTTTTTTATATATATATATATATATATATATATATAGAAACATACGTAAGACATGTAGGATTGTGTACACAGGAGAAGGACAATCGATAGAAACATACGTACGTCGTCCAAGGCGCTTCGGAAGGCGCCTCGGAAAGCGCAGAATACTCCTCCAAGGCGCGGAATCATGTTCCCGGACCGCCTTCCGGGAACATGATGGGGACGACCTCCTGAGGGCCTCCAATTGGCCTCTTGGGGGCCTCTCGGAGGCCTGTTGGGCTCTCCTGGGGGCGTCTTGGGGCGCGTATATGTGTATATATATATATATATATATATATATATATATATATATATATATACAAGACTGCATTGGCGCTTCGCGCCATGCACCTTGGTTATTCAAGCTCGGCATGCAGGAGAGCCAAGTATAGCGATGATTCATTGTTGCCGTTTGCGCCATTGTCGTTATAGTAATGTTATGTATTATCCTTATACTTCCTCTCCTCTTACTCGTAATCTTCCTTGTCTGCGAGCCACTCCTTGTCCTCATCCCCAGTTTTTATTGCAGGGGCTCCTCTTTGGAGGTGTTCTTGGGCCCCTCTCAAAAGCTTTTTGGGGACCTCTGGGGGCCTCCTGGGCGCCTTTTGGGGGCCTCTGGGGGCTTCTTGCGGCCACCTTGCTACCAACCACGGTCTCCCTGAACGACCGGGTCACGATTTAGAGTGCTTCGGGAGGCGTCTTGGGGCCATCTGGGGCTGTCAGCGGGGCTCTCTTGGGGCCATCTTGCGGCCCTGTTGGACCATATTGGAGCTCTTTTGGACTGTCTGGAAGCCCTTTGACACCGTTGTGGGAGGATTGTTGGGGCCTCTTCGGCGGACTCGGACGCACGGAATACCGAAGAACCGAATGTCCAAAAATTCAATAAAAACTAAAGGAAAGTGTTGTTTTCTTGCACTTGGAGGACCTCTTGGGGGTCTTTTTTGGGTCGTCTTCGGGCGTCTTGGGGCTGTCTGGGGCCGCGTGGGGCTCTCGCGGGCCGTTTGGCCGCCCTCCTGACCGCTTTGGGCCCGCTGGCAAGGCCCGGCAGGGGCGTCCAGGAGGCCCGGAAGGCCCGGGGGACCCATTGCAAGGCGTCCAGGGGGCCCCAAAAGCGCCAGATCCCGGGGGTCCGATTTTCCGGGGGGGGGGGGTCCCACCCCCCCGGATTGTAAAAATATAGAAAAGGGAATATATATATATATATATATATATATATATACGGTTACAAGCTCAGGACCTGCCACCGGTGTCGCTCCTCAGCGACACCGGTGGCAGGTCTTGAGCTTGTGTGTGTGTGCGTTGAGTGTGTGCGTTGTGTGTGGGTGTGGAGTGTGTGTGTGTGTGCGTGTGTTTGTGTGTGTGTGTGTGTGTGTTGTGTCTGTGTGTCTGTGTGTCTTGTGTGTCCCTGGGTGTTCCCTGTGTGTCTGTGTGTCCTGTTGTTTATCTGTGTGTCTCTGTGTGTCTCTGTGTGTCTCTGTGTGTCTCTGTGTGTCTCTGTGTGTCTCTGTGTGTCTCTGTGTGTCTCTGTGTGTCTCTGTGTGTCTCTGTGCGTCTCTGTGTGTCTCTGTGTGTCTCTGTGTGTCTCTGTGTGTCGCTGTGTGTCTCTGTGTGTCTCTGTGTGTCTCTGTGTGTGTCTGTGTGTCTCTGTGTGTCTCTGTGTGTCTCTGTGTGTCTCTGTGTGTCTCTGTGTGTCTCTGTGTGTCTCTCTCTGTGTGTCTCTGTGTGTCTCTGTGTGTCTCTGTGTGTCTCTGTGTGTCTCTGTGTGTCTCTGTGTGTCTCTGTGTGTCTCTGTGTGTCTCTGTGTGTCTCTGTGTGTCTCTGTGTGTCTCTGTGTGTCTCTGTGTGTCTCTGTGTGTCTCTGTGTGTCTCTGTGTGTCTCTGTGTGTCTCTGTGTGTCTCTGTGTGTCTCTGTGTGTCTCTGTGTGTCTCTCTGTGTCTCTCTGTGTCTCTCTGTGTCTCTCTGTGTCTCTCTGTGTCTCTCTGTGTCTCTCTGTGTCTCTCTGTGTCTCTGTGTGCTCTGTGTGTCTCTCTGTGTCTCTCTGTGTCTCTCTGTGTCTCTCTGTGTCTGTCTCTGTGTCTCTCTGTGTCTCTCTGTGTCTCTCTGTGTCTCTCTGTGTCTCTCTGTGTCTCTCTGTGTCTCTCTGTGTCTCTCTGTGTCTCTCTGTGTCTCTCTGTGTCTCTCTGTGTCTCTCTGTGTCTCTCTGTGTCTCTCTGTGTCTCTCTGTGTCTCTCTGTGTCTCTCTGTGTCTCTCTGTGTCTCTCTGTGTCTCTCTGTGTCTCTCTGTGTCTCTCTGTGTCTCTCTGTGTCTCTCTGTGTCTCTCTGTGTCTCTCTGTGTCTCTCTGTGTCTCTCTCTCTGTGTCTCTCTGTGTCTCTCTGTGTCTCTCTGTGTCTCTCTGTGTCTCTCTGTGTCTCTCTGTGTCTCTCTGTGTCTCTCTGTGTCTCTCTGTGTCTCTCTGTGTCTCTCTGTGTCTCTCTGTGTCTCTCTGTGTGTCTCTCTGTGTCTCTCTGTGTCTCTGTGTGTCTCTGTGTGTCTCTGTGTGTCTCTGTGTGTCTCTGTGTGTCTCTGTGTGTCTCTGTGTGTCTCTGTGTGTCTCTGTGTGTCTCTGTGTGTCTCTGTGTGTCTCTGTGTGTCTCTGTGTGTCTCTGTGTGTCTCTGTGTGTCTCTGTGTGTCTCTGTGTGTCTCTGTGTGTCTCTGTGTGTCTCTGTGTGTCTCTGTGTGTCTCTGTGTGTCTCTGTGTGTCTCTGTGTGTCTCTGTGTGTCTCTGTGTGTCTCTGTGTCTCTGTGTCTCTGTGCTCTGTGTCTCTGTGTCTCTGTCTCTGTGTCTCTGTCTCTGTGTCTCTGTGTGTGTCTCTGTGTGTCTCTGTGTCTCTGTGTCTCTGTCTCTGTGTGTGTCTCTGTGTGTCTCTGTGTGTCTGTGTGTGTGTGTGTGTCTCTGTGTCTCTGTGTCTCTGTGTGTCTGTGTGTCTCTGTGTGTGTCTCTGTGTGTGTGTCTGTGTGTCTGTGTGTCTGTGTGTCTGTGTGTCTGTGTGTCTGTGTGTCTGTGTCTGTGTGTCTGTGTGTCTGTGTGTCTGTGTGTCTGTGTGTCTGTGTGTCTGTGTGTCTGTGTGTCTGTGTGTGTGTGTCTGTGTGTGTGTGTGTCTGTGTGTCTGTGTGTCTGTGTGTCTGTGTGTCTGTCTTGTGTGTGTTGTGTGTGTGTTGTGTGTGTTGTGTGTTGTGTGTTGTGTGTGTGTTGTGTGTGTGTGTGTCCGTCGCATTTTGGCGCCATCTGGCTCAAGCGAGACACGCCAACGTACGCGCCTTACCGAATTGTTTTTTCCTCGAGTTCGCCTTTTGAGACGTGCGCTCCACGATGGCCCAGAAGGCGCCTGTCCGAGTGTGCTTGCTGATCCCTGTCCTCGTCCACTGCGTCTTCGGCACGACCGCAGCGGCGGATATCAACCCTCAGCAGGCGGACGCCGTGCTCCTGCAGCTCGGCACGGACGCCACGAGCTTCGACCTCGCCCGCGTCAGTTCCCGTAAGGGCGTGTCCACAGTGACTTCCTTGGTGCTCCACGTGAACACCAGCCAGCAGAAGGGGCGACGCCAAGTCGAGGCGGCTGACCACATGGTGAATGGGGTTTCTTGGAGCCAGTTGGGGCAGGACATCAATGGCGAAGCCTCAGGCGATCAGAGTGGCCATTCGGTGTCGCTGAGCAGCGACGGCAGCCGCGTGGCCATTGGAGCGATGTTCAACGACGGTGCTGGGTCAGCAGGTTCAGGTCACGTTCGCGTCTTCGGGCTCTCGGGAAACACATGGAGCCAGTTGGGGCAGGACATCGATGGCGAAGCCTACGGCGATCTCAGTGGCGGGTCGGTGTCGCTGAGCAGCGACGGCAGCCGCGTGGCCATTGGAGCGAGATCGAACGACGATGCTGGGTCAGCTTCAGGTCACGTTCGCGTCTTCGGGCTCTCGGGCAACACATGGAGCTAGTTGGGGCAGGACATCGATGGCGAAGCCTACGCCGATCTCAGTGGCCATTCGGTGTCGCTGAGCAGCGACGGCAGCCGCGTGGCCATTGGAGCGAGCTACAACGACGGTGCTGGGTCAGATTCAGGTCACGTTCGCGTCTTCGGGCTCTCGGGCAACACATGGAGCCAGTTGGGGCAGGACATCAATGGCGAAGCCCCTTCTGATTACAGTGGCGGGTCGGTCTCGCTGAGCAGCGACGGCAGCCGCGTGGCCATTGGAGCGAGCTACAACGACGGTGCTGGGTCAGCTTCAGGTCACGTTCGCGTCTTCGGGCTCTCGGGAAACACATGGAGCCAGTTGGGGCAGGACATCGATGGCGAAGCCTCCCTCGATGGCAGTGGCACGTCGGTGTCGCTGAGCAGCGACAGCAGCCGCGTGGCCATTGGAGCGGGAACGAACGACGGTGCTGGGTCAAATTCAGGTCACGGTCGCATCTTTGGGCTCTCGGGAAACACATGGAGCTAGTTGGGGCAGGACATCGATGGCGAAGCCTCAGGCGATAGGAGTGGCGTGTCGGTGTCGCTGAGCAGCGACGGCAGCCGCGTGGCCATTGAAGCGAGATACAACGACGGTGCTGGGTCAGATTCAGGTCACGTTCGCGTCTTCGGGCTCTCGGGAAACACATGGAGCCAGTTGGGGCAGGACATCGATGGCGAAACCGAGGGCGATCTCAGTGGCGGGTCGGTCTCGCTGAGCAGCGACGGCAGCCGCGTGGCCATTGGAGCGAGCTACAACGACGGTGCTGGGTCAAAGTCAGGTCATGTTCGCGTCTTCGGGACCGAGGCACCGACGCCGGTGCCTTCGCCAGCGCCGTCGCCCGCACCATCGGCTTCGCCAGCGCCAGCACCGACGCCCGCGTCGACGTCGGCACCGATCTCTGCACCAACATCGGCGCCGACGCCTGCCCCTACGCCAGCCCGTACGCCTGCAGCGACTGCTGCTGCAGTCGGGGATCCCCACCTGGTAAATATGTACGGGGAGCGTTTTGATCTCCTTAAGGTCGGCAAGCACTTGCTGGTCGAGGTCCCACAGTTTGCAGCGGAGAGCGCGACGTTCCTGGCCGTCGCGGCCGTGGCACAGCGTTTTGGCGACGCCTGCTCGGACGTTTACTTTGTGTCCCTCAATGTAACCGGCAAGTGGGCGGACGGCGTGCGCGAGGGCGGCTTCCATTACACGGCCAAGCAGCCGCAGGCCCACAGAAAAGGAACGGGCCGGCTGAGCTTCCACACCATTCAATTGAAGACCGTATGGGGCCGTACTGCCGGAGGCATTTCCTACCTGAATCTGTTTGTCAAGAACTTGGGCAAGTCGGGGTATCCAGTCGGCGGTTTGCTCGGCGGTGGGGACCACTCGTCTGTGACCAAGCCCGTTTTGCGCTGCAAGCGCGAACTGGTCCTATAGATGGTCTTCGTTTCACAAATTACTTGTTATGGGGCCGTGAGGATTGCCACGGCCTCTGTTTGACACCTCATCTGTGAGAGGTGTGAGGACATGACTCATCCTCGTGGTTCTGGTCCTCGTCTTCGCCCTAGTCCGCGCCTCCCTGTCTCTGTAAGCTCCCCCCCTCTCCATCGGTACCCCCCCAAGGTCTAGAAACAGAGAGAGAGAGAGAGAAAAGCAAACTAAAGCAATAAAACACAGTATCCGTGCGACAGGCCTAGCGAAAGTGACCCACGTGCTTTCCCTCTTGGCCCGCTTTGGCGCGACAGGGACCCACGTCTTATCCCGCTTCTTCCGCTCTGGCGCGAAAGGGGCCCACGTGTTTTCACGTTTGTTGTGTGTGACGACCCAGACGTCGACCCGCTTTCCTGCGCCAGCCCGCTCCCGGACGACGCCGGGACCCGCTGCGATGAACCCTGCCCCGGGTGCTGTCCGCTCCCCCGCCCCAGCCTATTTGCAGGATCACCTCAACCCCACCAGACGAACTGCCCAGAGGGCCGGAGGGGACATGCGCCGTAGACCACCCATCGCCACCACCCACAGACCGACCGAAACTGCGCTCTGGCACCTGCGCTGTGAATCTGCGGCCGGGGGATGGCTCCTCGCCGGACGAGGATGGGTCCCTTGCTCCCAGGTGGCCTCCAAGAGACCCTAAGAGAGGTCTGATAGGTGTCCTGGGACGGCCCGAAGAGGCCAGAGTCGTAGATGTTCATTGGTTTTTGTTCCAATGTTTTTGGCTTCTCGCGTTTTCGAGCTTCCAATGGTCCAAAAGCGCCGAAGAGCCTCCTACGACCGCCCCAAGACCACCCAAGAGACACTCAGGACGGCCCCAAGACGGGCCAAGAAGGCTCCAAGACTGCCGAAGAGGCGCCCAGGACAGCCCCAGACCACCCCAGAACAGGCCCAAGATGGGCCCAAGAGCGGGAGTAGGAGGCTTCCAGAGACCTCCGAGAGGCCTCCGGGACCACCCAGAGGCCCCCAACACTCCCCCGACTCCTGAGAGGCCCCAAAGAGACCCCGACGAGGCTCCAAGAACAGCCCAAGAGAGCTGCGAGAGCCGTCCCGAGAGAGCCCAAAGAGGGTAAAATCGTTGATTTCCCATGTTTTTTTCCAATGTTTTTCGCCTTCTCACGCTTTCCCACTTCCAACCCTCGAAGATCGAGAATGCCAAGAATTGTTTTGTTCCATCAAAGTGGGACTCCTACTCGGGGGTCGTACACATCCCCTGACATCTGGCCGGTACCGCGCCTCCTGGCTTCTGAACGGTTTCGCGGAGTCTCCGAAGGCCGCAAGGAGTCCGGTAATTTTGGTGCTCATTCACTCAGGATTCAGGACAGAAATTCATGCGCGAACCAAGCATGTCCATCTCTCGTTCAAGTGCCGTGTGGGATACGTATTGCTGGGGTATTTGATTGCATGGCGCTGCAGCCCAGGGTAGCAGCGCCTTTCACACAGCAGTATCCAGCGAGCTGCAGCCCAAGGTAGCAGCTCATTTACAGTGCTGGCCGCTGCATTCCTGGCACTTTCTGCTCAGAGCAAGCGAGAGGATGCCCGCGGCAGAGCTATCATAGAGAAACAACGTGGCGGGCGGACGCACGACGGACGTCGGACCACGGAAGAAGACGACGGGACCGCCCATGGGGGAGGGGACCTGGGGTGGCCCTGGGGTGGCCCACTTTTCCCAAACTCCCCCCGTCGCAACCCAATTTGCCCCCCCTTGGCTCCTGGATCCGCTTTGGGGTCTTTGGATGATTCTTTCGGCCTGAAGAGGGTTCCGAGCTGGTTCAGGAGGACGCCCGCTGGCCGCCAAGATGGCCCCTTAGTGGTCCAAGACGCTCCAAGATGTTTCAAGGTGGCCCCCAGGGGCCACAAGATGCCCCAGTGGAACTCCCAACGGCCCTCCCGAATGACCCCAGAGAGCCACAAACGCAAAAGCCATTCAGGTTTCTCCATAATCATTCAGTCAATCTCACGCTCGTCTCCTTCGGATGGCTTCGGGAGAGCTTCACATGGCGCCGAGGCTCGAGACGGCCTCGCAACTTCGAAGAAGAGTCCAAGAGGGGCTCAAGCGGGCCCCAAGGCTTTCAAGGCAGCCCAAAAAGGAAGATCCACAAGAGACCCGTACATTTCAAGCCAGCCCATTTCATATTGAGTATCTTCCCACGCCAGCCCTGAATTGCTCGAAGCCCCGCATAATCCCAAGCAAGAGGAGGCCGTCGATAAGAACGAGAAACGAACAGCGAGGACAACCGAGGGAGTCTGGAGGGTTAACGAGGAAGGACGTATAAGGAATATTGGAGAACGAGGTAAGGCAAGGCATGGAATGAGCCTGTCCGAAGAGCACGCGCAGCTAACAACGCCATGGCATGCGCTAGAAGCCAAGCGCGCGCGAAGCGCACGCGCGGTTCTATATAACATAAACAAATACTGCCCCCCCTGGCCCCGGGGCGGGTCCCACACCTCCCCACCACATCCCGGGGACTCCCGGTTTTGCTCCCCCAGCCTTTCCGGGGAGCTTCCACAGCGCCCCAGGAGGGCTCTAGACGCCCCCCAGGAGCCCCCAGAATTCGAAAGAATGGTCCAAGACGCTCCCAAGCAGCCCAAGTCAGCCTTTCGACGGCTCTCGAGGCTTCCAGGTGGTCTCCTAGAGACCCCAAGAGAGGTCCGAGAGGCGTCCCAGGACGGCCCAAAGAGGCAACCATCGTAGATGTCCATTGTTTTTTGTTTCCAATGTTTTTGGCTTCTCGCGTTTTCGAGCTTCCAATGGTTCAAAAGCGCCGAAGAGCCTCCCACGACCGCCCCAAGACCACCCAAGAGACACTCAGGACGGCCCCAAGACGGGCCAAGAAGGCTCCAAGACTGCCGAAGAGGCGCCCAGGACAGCCCCAGACCACCCAAGAACAGGCCCAAGATGGGCCCAAGAGCGGGAGCAGGAGGCTTCCAGAGACCTCCGAGAGGCCTCCGGGACCACCCAGAGGCCCCCAACACTCCCCCGATCCCAGGGAGGCCCCAAGAAGTCCCCGACGAGGCTACAAGAACAGCTCAAGAGAGCTGCGAGAGCCGTCCCGAGAGAGCCCAAAGAGGGTAAACTCGTTGATTTCCCATTGTTTTTTCTAATGTTTTTCACCCTCTCACGTTTTCCCGCTTCCAACCCTCAAATATCGAATTTGTTAGCGGAAAAGCGAAGGGAATTTCTAGATTTGTTTTCGGTTACAAGCTCATTTGGGCCCCCTGCGTTTTTAAGGACAAACTGCATGGAGCGCGGCAACGTCAACGGCAACGTCGGCAACGTCGGCGGCAACCGCTAAGCGAAGACGATGAGTGAAACAGCGGTATATGTTTTCTGCATCGGCTCGGGGTGGTGCGGCATGGCGTTCGCGCGGGGGGGCCTTTTTCCCCGACGTAGCTCAAGCTCCGCTGGAAAAGTGCCCAGTGCTTTGAACGTATAAATCGCTACTATATGGCAAGCGCAACGCTCTAGACATATCACCACGCCTGGAACGCAGCTGCCAGCGCCGCGAAACTCACCTTCTGCCCACTGGTTTTGATGCGGGTGCGGAACCTGTGCTCGGCAAGGAGCCTCGACCACTTTTTCCTGTCAGCCTTCTTGGGCAACGTCCCGCCGTAGCGCTCCCTGATCCACCGCTTGACCAATGACCATTGGAGCTCTACGTGGTTGGTAGTGAACCCTCTTTCGTTCGTAATCTCGCCAGCGCTGTGGTTCACTACCTCGTGCGGGAGCATCCGCTC